TTCATTTGTATACAATCACATAAACACAGGTGGGGGGTGGGGCAGATCAGAGAGTTGCAAGGTTCTTTCTCTTATCCCCTGAAGACTTAAAAGTTAGTGTAGACAGACTTAGTATAAGCCCATATTAATCAAGTTCAAGGGGCTGGTGCATAAAGACAGTGTTAATGTTTGGAAGTACAGTAAAAATAYATCTACTAAAGAGACCAGAATATTCAAGTTAATATGCCAAGTACTTGCTCTCCTTTAGGGCGTGCCTCTACAGAGCAAAGGAAAAAATTATATCCACAAGGTTGAATAGTGGATATGGAAGTAGATCCAGTGGGTTAAGTTAAATAACCTGAGGGGTTATGAATAAGAGACCTGATAAATCCACTTTCAAAATTGATTTTTATTTGCCACTGGGGAAGTGATTTCTGAACTTTTCCAAGGAAGTCTCTTTCCCTGAACACTGTTAAATAAGCCTAGACAACCTTGTATTCTGGGGTTTCCCCTTTCCTTTATTAAAAAAAAAAAAAAGATTTCTAATTGACACATTGTTTCATTAGCTGTCAAAAATAAATTCTGGGCTGGGGATACAGCTCAAAGGTAGAGTGCTTGCCTAATTTGTACCAGGCCCGGCATTTCATCCCCAGCATATATACATATATGCATGCWTACAGTTTAGCTTAAATCTTCCAATCCTGTAGACTTACAATTCTGTCTTCAGTTTTACAATCCTGTCCTTCTTTTAAAGAGTCATGACCCTAATTGAAACCAAGATATACATATGTTGTGTTTGTAATTTACAAAAGGAGCTTTATTTCTAGTTGGTCCTCCCCATCACCACCACCTTCCACATACAAATAAATCCTCCCTTACATTATGAACATTACCATTAATGGTGTAATTGTACAAAATGGATTGGGAATAAAAGTGTTTACTTTTGAAAGCTCAGAAAAAAAACACATTAATTTTATTGTAAGAGATAAAAGATTTATCTTTTATCTGAGGTCTCATACAAATATCATTTTAATAATCTATGATTCTTGAAAGATTTTTTAAATTTTACTATCATTATGCCTAAATTCTTCTTTTTCTTTTTTTCTTTTTACTGAAGATTTAACCCAGGAATGCTTTACCACTGACCTACATCYCCAGTACTTTATTTTTTTTATTTTGAGAATAGGGTCTTGCTAAATTGCCACAAATCTCTCTAAGTTGCTGAAGCTGTCCTCAAACTTGTGATCCTCCTGTCTCAGCCTCCGGAGTTGCTGGGATTACAGGTGTGCCCAACCACGCCCAGCTCTAAATTCTGTATTTTTATTCTATTTCCCGTGTGGACCTCAGATAATAGAAAAATCCAAATGGTCTCACTTGTCTTTACAGAGTACAGGAAAAGCACAACAACAACAAGAAAAAAAAAACTTCTAGAAAAATAGATTTTTTAAGTTAAGTAAGTTATTCTCCCCACCCAACACATGCAAATATATGCACATTTATATCAGTTGTGATTTAAACCCAGAAAAAAATCAAAACCATATTTTTCTCCTTCTGCATCACTTATTTTGTCTATATGAAGTGTGATTACAAAGACTAACAATTAAAACATAAGAAAGCTTACTTAAGTCTGTAAAGAATGATCCAGATATTTCCTCTCGATGTAACAGCTACTTTCTTTTTGGCAATAAGCCAGATTTTGGAGTTGAGAGAATACCTAAGAACTATGGTCTCCTACCTTACACACAGTTGTTCTTCAACCCTCCTTCCTCCTTTATAATCATCCGCAGCCTGGGGTGGAAAAACATACGTAAGCATCCCAAGCTGTGAAAAATAACCTGAAAGCCTTGGAAGAATGAAGAACAAAAGTGTTAAAATAATTCCATCATTTATTCAGACAACTTTTCATTTGTACAGTAAAGTAACTGGATTACATAAGATCTATTATGTATACAATATGGCAGCAATACATACCATAGCTCTCTCTACGTAAGCTATACCTGGAGAGGCAAAGCACAAAGAGGATGAGCTGCACTGGAGTCAGACTTCTAAACAAAATTCCCCAAACTATGATTTGAAAGTTGTGTGGCATAGGAAAAATTATTTCTGTACTTCAGTTTCCTCATCTGTAAAATGTGGTTAATTTATTAGGTCATAAAACTTAAATTCATGAGTTTTTTTTCCCCAAGAATATACATAGCAGCTTTATTCATAGAAACRACTCAAATGTTCATCAACACAAAAATGAATAAGCCAAYTGTGGTACATTCATACAATGGAACACTACTCAGTGACAGAAAGAAATGAACCACAGAAACATACAGCAACATGCATAAATCTCACTGACGTTATTTTGGTCATGGTAGCCAAATATTAAGAGTTTAATTAATGATTCCATTCATATGAATCTCAAGAATGGGCAAAACTAATTTTTAGAGATGGGAATGGTGGTAACCTCCAGTGGGGCATGAAGGGGTGACTTTGAGAACAAATCTTCCAGGGTCACCAGGTCTATATTTTGATTCTGTGCATGGGTTATACAGGGATGTACATTTGTCAATACTCATTGAACTTTTTTTTTTTTGATCCGTGTATTTTGTTGTTTCAAAAGCTGAGAAGGGCCAGGTGTGGTGGTGCATGCCTATAACCCCAGTGGCTTGGGAGGCTGAGACAGGAGGATGAAGAGTTCAAAGCTAGCCTCAGCAAAAGTGAGGTGCTAAGCAACTGAGTGAGACCCTGTCTCTAAATAAAATACAAAATGGGGATGGGGGCTGATTGTGGCTCAGTGGATGAGTGCCCCTGAGTTCAATCCCCAGTAACTCTAACCACCCCCCCCAAAAAAAAAGTTAAAAAGAGTTATGGCTTTGTGAAACAGCAGCTTTATCTTAAAATATATATTTATTGCCTGGCATGGTGGCACATGCCTATAATCCCAGCTACTTGAGAGATTGAAACAGGAGGATTGAAAGTTCAAAGCCAGCCTGGGCAATTTAGCAAGACCCTTCTCAGAATAAMATTTGAAAAATAGTTGGGCATGTAGCTCCATGATAGATCACTTGTCTAGCACGTGCAAAACCCTGGGTTCAATTCATAGCAGCACACACATAAAAATTTTAATATTTATGTATTTACTTTTTGACATTTATGGATTGTTTACTTTTTTTTTTTTTTTGTACCTTAGATTGAACCTGAGGGTGCTCTACCACAAGCTATATTCCCAGTCCTTTTTATTTTTAATACTGAGATAATGTCTCTCTGAGTTTCCTGGACTGGCCTCCAATTTGCCTCAGCCTCCTGACTTTCTGAGATTAGAAGCCTGTGCCATGATGCCTGGCTTGATCATTCACTTTATACTGACAGTTTTTATACACATTCATATATATGAATATATGCATTCACATATTCTTATAATGATTATATGATTTAGACATTGTTATACAACAGCGTATGATACATTGCTAAGAGAGGTTAAGTAATTTAACTGTGGTTACACAACTAGTAAATTATATCGTTGGGGTAAGAGGTCTTATCACTTACAATGTTGTCCAGTCTCCCTTACTTCAGATAGTTTAGTATTAGTGTTCACTGTTACATGTACTTTAAAAACTTTTTTTTAAATAATATCAGACATGATACCTATAGAACTGTGAAATTATATTATTTTAAGCCACATCTATGTTAGTTTGTCACCCCAGCAATAGTAAATTAATATAGATGTCTTATTTGTCTCCAAATTGGGCACCAGTCACTGCCAAAGCACTTTCCACGAGAAATGCTATGGTAACCACCAAATAGGTGATACTATGCAAAGCCCAATTAAAATGTTAAATACACTTCTCAAACAATGAAACTACAGGGGCTGGGATTGTAGCTCAGTAGTAGAGCACTCGCCTAGCACAGGCAGGATCGATCCTTGCCACGGGTTCGATCCTTGGCATCACATAAAAATAAAGGCATTGTGTTGTATCCATCTACACCTAAAAAATAAATGTTTTTWAAAAAATGAAACTACAGCTGGGCACTGTGGTGCTTGCAGGTAATCCCAGTGGCTAGGGAGGCTGAGGCAGGAGGATCAGGAATTCAAAGCCAGCCTCAGCAATTTAGTGAGTTGCTGACTCAGTGAGACTAAATAAAATACACACATACACAAAAATAGGTCTGGGAATGTGGCTCAGTGGTTGGGTGCCCCAGAGTTCAATCTCTGGTACCAAAAGGAAATGACTGTTTTACCAAAGTATCTTTTGGCTGTTAGGATCAAGAAATCATTCAATCATTCAAGCAACTCAAACTAAAAAGGTGGTGTTTTGTTTTTAATTTGTTGTTGTTGTAGATGGATGAAATACCAATACCTTTGTTTATTTTTATGTGATATTGAGGATTCAACCCAGTGCCTCACACATGCGAGGCAAGCGCTCTACCACACAGCTACAACCCCTGCCCTAAAAGGGGTTTATTCTAAGACTATAAGAGGAAAACTCATGGACCACCAAGTACAGATGTAATGAATTCAGTCATCGGATAGCATTTCTGGGAAAGGTTTCCCTCACAGCTTCAAGCAGAAGCAGAGTGAGAATAAACATAAAAATAGATAATGTCAACAAAGTAGTTGAAATTAAATACTCCATTTCCCCTCAACTGTGTATATTCATGATTCATTTGGTAAATCCCTCTATATATCTAGTAATGTAGGAACAATGTCACTTTGGATTTTTTTTTTTTTTAATATTTAGAGCAGAATACTGGTGGGAAACAGTGGGGATGCAAAGCAGAACTTTGGTAGTAAGAAGAATTCATTCACAGGTCTTCGTGGTAGAGTAGGTCCACRGGGTAAGAGAGAAGGAGGATCCACATATGGTTCCCAGGATTCCTAGCTGTTCTGTAARCCCCAGGTAGAAAAATACAGAATCTTTATTTTTCTTTTCATTGTATCTACAGTGTTTAGCATATTGTCAGTGCTCAATAAAAAACATTTGTTTTTCCATGACAGAAAACACTAAATTTTGTTCTGTTTTGTTTTCCTGCAGTGGAATGATGTGTTTGGATTTGGGAATTGCTAACCTTGATAGCAGGTTGGAAGGATGACCAAGGGTAAGAAGGTATGTCAGAGACAACCTGTCTACGAAAATCCAATCTCCTTTTCTTCCTGAGCATTCAGCTATAGTACATTTCCTAGTGTCCCTTAAACCGGGTGTGATCACATAAACACATTGCAGCCAATGGAATGTAAGGCACAAGTTATAGAAATGATGTGTACCATGCAGGATCATAAAGGATGCTGTACCAGAACCTGAAGACCAGGCTGAACCTTCTCCTACATTCTCTAACTCCAAAAGCTGGAATCTGGTTATAGTGACCCTACCTCAATTGTGTGAGAAGAATGTCCTAGCAAATGGCAGAGGACTAAGGTAAGAGATTGGATCCCTGATCACTACACAGAAGAGAGCCAACTGCTGACCTGGAAACCGAATCTGGAATGAGATAAGAAATGAAGTTATTATTCTTTAAGCCACTGAAGTTTTGAGTTCTATTTTTTTCTATCTACATAAACATTAATATAGGATGGGAATTAGAGAGTAATGATAGGAACAAGGCTGCTTTAATAAACCATAAGTAATGATAAATACCTGTGTGGGACTATGGGGGAAGATGAAGAGCAGGAGAAAAAAAGATATGGAGATATTTATGAAGCAATACTCAATGTGATTGCTTTTTTTTTTTTTTTTTTTTTTTTTTATTTCTTCAAATGCTGACAGTGCTAGAGCTCACTACTTGGTTCCCTGCAAGGAGAATTTTATTCTCACCATTGAACAGAAACTTTTCTTTCAAAATTTATTAGACCCTACCATTGTGTCCACCCAAAAGAATGGGGTCCTAATTAGAACAAGATATATCCTGTGCTTGTATAATTTTAACAAAATGGATTCTACTGTCATGTATAACTAAGAAGAACCAATAAAATAAAATTTTGAAAAATTTATTAGAGAACTAAAAACAATAAATCCAATGACCTCGTCTCAGTCTTTTTAGTTTTGCCCCCTTTGTAATCTATGCCACTGTTTTGATCGCCCCACAACCCTTTTTATTCTGGCTCCAATTTTTCTCTTTCCTTTTCAATAGTTCATTCGTGTTCTACAACTTTCCAAAAAGCCGTGTACCACAAAGTCCTGCCCTTCAATGTGTTCTCTGTTTTATTCAGACAGTGATCTCATAAACTCTTGTAACTTCAACTAAGCAGACAATGGTATGGCCCATCCATGTGGATAAGAACAGACACCAATGATTTGGCTTAAACATGTCCAAACCAGGAAGTGGGTGGGGGAAAGGAGGGAAAAAGACCATCCCTTTTTCTATTCCACATATAAACAAGTTATTTTCACTGATGGAAAAAAAAAAAAAATCATGAAACTTTCCAAAAGTACAGATAGGACTTTGGAGAGTCAAGCAAGATTGTCCAAGAAATGTTCAAGAGCAATTTCTGTGTTGCCTGGCTATGAGTAGTGTCTCCCTCTCCACCAAGCAAGAGGGGTTATACCTAATGTGAGCTGCCCATGGGACCTGGTGGCAGAGCTGCGAATATTTCCCTAAATCTGCATAAGTAGACCTGCATAAACAGAGTCTGCATAACAGTTTGCATCTAACTTCAGACTTTCTCATGCAAAAGCCTGGAAGGTTTATCCTTTGCCCCTAAGATTGCTCACATTCACTAGTAAAAATGGAGAGCACTGGTAAAGCAGGGTCTCACTGCTGGAGCACAGTCCTGCCTCAAGCACACACACCCCTTCATAGGATGCCAAAAGAATATATGGGTCATGTTAGTTTCGGAGCAGGCTGAACAAATGTTAGTTGCAGGATGGGCTGAACACTCAACCCCCACCCATCTGGTTCCTTAATCGCTTGTTTGCCTCAAGGCTGGAAGCTCAACCCCACTCAAGGCTGAACACTCCCACCGTCTGGTGCAACTGAGACCCACATCTGGCCCCTGCCCTGTCTGCCTGAGGGCAAAAGATGACATCCTTAGCAACTACTGTGTGATCCAATCACTGTACGCCAACAAGGCAGCTTGCAGATCAGGAGACCCCATTAGATTTTGACTACAAAAACTCTCTCCTGCCGGAACTCTCTCTTGCACTTTGCTCCCCTACTTCTTCTTTTCCGCTTACTCTCACTTTCTCTCATTCTCTCTCTTTTTCTCCTCCTTCCCTGTCGATCAGACACTACCGCAATAAAGATCTCTTGGTCGCTCTGTGTGTCGTGGTCACTTTCTTTTCAGGCCATACCTCTGCAGCCTCTTCTGCTCCTGAGTTCAGCCTGCATACTGGGACATTTGCAAGTCTTTGCCCTGAGCACCTGGACCTACATTTCAGGTACCGTTCAGATAATTAATGTTTTACATTTCTTATAATTTTACACGTTGTCTCTCTACTCATATTTTTAACAAAGTTTTAATTTTTATTTTTAAAGAGTTGAGTAGAAAGCATTTTCTTATTTCTTTGAATTAGTCACATATACATGTGAATCAGAGAGAGAGATCTGATTCATTCACTAGTGGAGGTATTTTCTCACTGGTGATGGTGTATTCTACATGCACACCAACTGCTCATTGGAAATTAAGTTTATTGAAAGATAAGTTTGTAAGCCAAAACATACACCATAAACTGATGTACTTTGTACTTAAGAAGTACAGAGAATTATAAGGACACTGCATTCTGATTGATTAGTACCTCATATAAGTAATAAATATTGTGATTTATTATTCTACATGCTTAAATTATTTAAATTTAAAAGGTTTTTAAGAATATTAAAACCATCCTGAGCTCAGTTGCCCTATAAATAAATCTCACAGGTAGATTCATCCTACTGCCTTGGTTTTGCAGGCTCTTGCCTTAATTGATGTTAAGTCAGATTTCCCTTAATACCCCCAACTTTTCCCTTCACTCCAAATCTCACCTCCTCACCTGTGACTCTCTCTGCATTGGGGTGGGTTATTGATGATTGAAAATGTTGATAGATGATAATCTTAGGAACTAGAATAAACTCTTTTCTCTTTCACTCCTCCAGCCCCCACCCCATATTTTTATGAAACAGAGTCTTGAAACATTGTCCAATCTGGTCCTTAAATTCCTAGGCTCAAGTGATTGTCCAACCTTATCCTCTTGAGTAGCTGGGACTACAGGTGTGCGCCATCACACCCAACCTAGAATAAAACTGTTAAATCCATTTTCAATGCCTTAAAAATACCCCTACTATTAACTTATTCATTTAGCTATATACACTCAACTTTTAGGTGATTAAAAAAAAAARGGGCAGAAATCCAAATTAAGAACATTTGGGAGATCAAAGGTGAGACATTATTGACAGGGAATAGATCCAACTGTTGGAATGATAATAATGCAGGACAAAAGAACTAAAATCTTATATGGTATCTGAGCACAAAGAAGATTTTCTTTTCTTTCTTTCTTTTTTTTTTTTTTTTTTTTGGTACTGAGGATTGAACCCAGGGGCACTTAACCGCTGAGCCACATCCCCAGCCCTTTTCATTTTTTTATTTAGAGACAGAGTCTCGCTGAATTGCTTAGGGCCTTACTAAGTTGCTGAGGCTGTCTTTGAACTTGTGATCCTTCTGCCTCAGACTCCTGAATCACTGGGATCGCACATGTGCACCACCACACCACGTCTGTTATTTTTTTTTTTTTTAATTAACCTTTATTTATTTATTTATTTTTTAATGTGGTGCTGAGGATCAAACCCAAGGCCTCACCCCTCCTAGGAAAGCGCTCTATTACTGAGCCATACCCCCAGCCCTGGTCTATTAAATTTTTGAAAGATTGTTTCCCATTCCCGCAAAAGAAAGAATTATGGGCTATTTATAATGCCCCAATTTAAAACACAAAAATACTAAATGCTCAACAATAGCATTTGATTAAATCAATCATAGTAAAATTATGCAAAGAAATATTCTATAATCATTTCAAATTGTATATAATTCTAAAATAAATGCATTGTGAGTGATATTAAATTTAAAAAGAAAGAGTAAAAGCCTACAATGAACTGATTTTTGTGTTTTTGGTTCTCAGAATTCATATGCAAAAACCCAAATTTCCAGCTTGAGGTATTAGAAAGGGAGTTTTGGGAAGTGATTAGGTCACTTTTGGGAAGTGATTAGTGTGGAGTCCTCATGACTAGGACTAGTGTCCTTAAAAAAGGCACCTCAGAGGGATCCCTAGGTGCTGTCACCATGTGAGGATGGAACAAGTAGTTGGTGGTCTGCAATGTGGTGGAAGAAAGCCCTCATCAGAACCTGACTATGCTGGCACCCTAATCTTGAATTTCCAGTCTCCAGAACTGTGGGAAATAAATTTCTGCATTTCATAAGCCACCTGGTCTGTGGAACATGTTATAGTAACCCAAAGTGACTAAGATACAAAGGGTATAGGATGTTCCCATGCTTTTGCATTTGTACGAGTACATACAAAATTGGATAAAGTTTTACCAAAGGAATGGAGAGGTAGTTATGGATTCTTGTGGCATTAAGGTTGGTTTTCTTTCCACATTTTTATTTAAATATATTTTCTATTTTTACTAAATTAACATGTATTAAGTGATCAATTAAAATTTTAAATTAAAATATGTTCAACATCACTAGTTATTATAAGAATCAAAATCACAATGAAATATTACCTCATACCCATTAATATGGCCACTATATAAATCAAAAATAAGCCAGGAGAAGTGACATCTGTAATCCCAGCAACTCAGAAGGCTGAGCCAGGAGGATCAAAATTTTGAGGCCAGCCTTAGCAATTTAGCAAGACCCTTAGCAACTTTTAGATACTTATCTATTTGTTTTTAATGACATTTTGGGTAAATAACCTTTTTTTCATATTTTGCATGAATTTGTATTATAACCCCTTCTGAATAGAGACTCCTACCTACCTACTTTTTTCTTTGTAAATAGTAGGTATTTAATTATATTTGGGGATTAATCAACATTTTGGAAAGTAAAAGCTTTCTTTGGGTATTACTAAAGAAAATGAAAAGAAGGAAAAATGAATGGAGACACCAACTGCAAGGTGTGTGTGTGTGTGTGTGTGTGTGTG